ACGTATATATACATAACATATTTATTTATGTATGTATTTATTTATTACACACACATTTTTATGTGATGTACAAGTAATAAATAAATAACCAACCCACCAACCTACCAACTACCCAACCAACTAACCAAACAACCATTTAACGAACAATCAATCAACCAACATACAACCAATCAACCAACCAACCAGCCACATAACCAGTCAACCAGTTTACCAACTTACCAAACCAACCAGTCAATCAAATCAAACACCGGCACAAAACAGGTGGAGCAGTTGAAGAGCTGCCAGGTTCAGCTCGAGGATACGAACGCGGGCCTGATGCAGAAGGTGTCTGCGGGCCAGCGCCAGTTGGCTCAGATGGAGAAGTGTTACCACCAGAAGGTGGACAGCCTCTCCCGCGAGAACGGCATGCTGCAGACCAAGCTGGGCGACAAGGAGGATCAGCTGCAGGCGGCCAAGGACTGCCTCACTCTCAAGGTCGGTTTTCTTTGTCTGGTGCGCTCCTATCAAACAGACAGACAGACAGACAGACAGACAGACAGACAGACAGACAGACAGACAGATAGGCGGACAGACAGACAGAAAAGAACAAAGAAACAAACAAACAAAAACCAAACAAACATTCAAACAAACAAACAGACAGACAGGCCTACATACTGAAAGACAAACAAACAAAAAAACAAAAAAATAATAATCAAACAAACAATTAACGAACAAGCAAACAGAATTGTAAACTAAAAAGCAAAGAAACCAAAATGCCACTGAAGATACGCAAGCAAACAAACAAGCAAAGAAATAAACAAACAACCAAATGTTCTCGGAACCCCCCCCCCTAAAAACCCCCATCAAAGTAACAACAACAACAACAACAACAACAACAACAACAGCAACAACAACAACAACAACAACAACAACATCCAACCAAAAACACCATTAAGTATCTTTTATAAAATCTTACACAGTGTTGAAAGAAGCATTAATGTCGTGCATGTTTCAATCCAACAATTCATGTGTAATTCTCAAAAAACATCCACGTTATCTTGATAAATGAACCCACTATAAACTTTCAGCCATCTGTTTTAAATGCCTTGGCATCGTATCTGTCTCAGCATTTAACACGGTACGTTCCATCCAGTCAATTAGGGTCATCAACAGACGCAACAAGCACTCAGAGATATTAGAATGAAATTAATTAAGGTCTCTTGGTGAGAGAAGTTTCTTCTTTTTTTTTTTTTTGGCTCTAAAATCTGGTACTTCTTGCCCAGGACCTCAGAGAAATAACAAATTTTAATCTTAACACGTTTAGCCCTATCCGTACGTGGTGTTTTACTGTCGTATCCATACGACGTGGGGAACTTTGTGTCACCATTCTCCAAAGAGGAAATTTACTCGTTAATCCGTTCCGTACGCTTTGCATAGCAGTCTATCAAAATGATGTTTTGAGAAATACTGAAAGTTTCAAAGAGATCTTCGTACTAGATCTAGAACTATTCTTAAATCTGAAGAATACAACCGCGGAGGTACAAAATGACAACCTGGGTGTACGGATAGGGTCAAGCAATTGCTCAAGACTCATTTGTTTAATTATTAGCTGTAGTGTGTGGGTAAGTGCTGATATGTTTTGTTTTTACTAACTGCTGTCCTTACGTGTATTTAATTAATATTACGGTTGAGAAAGGTTTTTCTTATGCATTTAAACTGGTTTTCTCGTTACTGCGAAATGTTTGATCTTGTATGAATGAAATATTACGCTCAGTGATCAAGAAATCGATGTAAAGTGCTCAGAGATTAAACTCGTATGGGGTATAAGTGCAA